GGGCTCGAAACGTCAGCCTTCCTGCTCCTCTGATGCTGCTTGGCCTGCTGTGTTCATCCAGCTCTACACCTTGTTAACTCAGATTCTCCAGCATCTGCAGTTCCTACTATCTATCATATCTTTCTGGTAAGTGCCTTAAGTGTTGTTCAGTGTATGACTGCAACAGAGAATTAGGCAAATGGCATGAAATTGATTGGTTCCAGTCTATTCAATTGTTGGGACACCAGATATAGCATCAACTCCTGATTTTTAAAAAAATTCATTTATGGGACGAGGGCATCACTGGCTAGGCAGCATTTATTGCCCATCCCTAATTGCCCAGAGGGCAGTTAAGAGTCAACCACATTGCTGTGGGTCTGGAGTCACATGTAGGCCAGACGAGGTAAGGATGGCAGTTTCCTTCCCTAAACGGCATTTATGAACCAGATGGGTTCTTCTGTGAATCAGCAATGGATTCATGATAATCATTAGAATCTTAATTCCAGATATTTATTGAATTCAAATTCCACCGTCTGCCATGGCAGGAATAGAACCCTGGTCCTCAGAACATTACCTGGGCCTCTGGATTAACAGTCCAGCAATAATACCACTAGGCCATTGCCTCCCCGATTTAATCTTCAACCTTCTCATGTTAAATGAGTATTGTAAATTAAGAGGCAGGTTGATTAGGTCCTGATTTTATTGAATAGAAGACATGTCACATACCAACTTTGCAAGGATGAGGGCATCATTCATGAGGTCAACGAGAGGAGTCTTGGTGTGGACGTTATAAAAAGAGTAAGCAGCCTTTAGGCTCTTGTGAACAGGATGGTGCATGATGGTGGAAGGAAGAGTGTAAAAACTGAAGAAGTCTGTCAATTCTCCATCAGGGCTCTGCAGAAACAAGATAGGAGAAGTGAGTTACTTGAATATGAAAACAGCATTTACAAATAGCATGAGTAACCTGGTAAACTTTCAGCCTGAGATAGTCTGAACTGCAGATGCTGGAGTCAGAGATAACACAGTGTGGAGCTGGAGGAACACAGAAGGCCAGGCAGCAGAGGAGCAGGAAGGCTGACGTTTCGGGTCGGGACCCTTCTTCAGCTTTCCTGCTCCTCTGATGCTGCCTGGCCTGCTGTGTTTCTCCAGCTCCACACTGTGTTATCTTAAATTTGCAGCCTGACTGTTTACTGTATGTCCTAGAGGGGGATCTAGCATTCCCTGTTGAACAGCTATATAACCACTTTATGTGCGTATCCACCATCTTTACCCAACTACAAAACAAATCGCAGCTTCCTTTGTGAATTATCAAGCAGGTCCTATGCATTTCACTTACCAAGGTGGATGGCAGGGGATAGCGCACGCATGAGAGGGAGAGTACGTGCGTGTGCGAAAAGTGAGGGTACACGCGCGAGAGCGAGGAGGGAGAAGGCAATACACACGCAGATAAACACACAGGGACGCAAAAACCATGAATGATAAAACAGACACTGAGCGATGAAGAGAAAGAGAGAGAACACTAAATTCCCTGATGAGAGCAGATAGCTACAAGCGCTACATTAAACAGACCAACTCAGATTGCTGTCAACTTACACCATGTATGTTTGGCATTGGAGAACTGAACTTATATCATATTAACCAGAAAATAAACGCCAATCCAAATGTCATTTCACAGCCTGAAGACCATATTTGTCATCCTGGGGTCACTGTCAACTCAAACTACATGATTGAATCTGAGGCATTTCAGCTAAGACTCCTTAATGCACAGTCCAACAATTGCAAAGGTAAATGCTTTAAACAATTATCAAAACTAAGCCAAAACTTTTGGCAACCTAAGGTTGCATCCAAGTAGCCAACTACCTCACTACCCCACTGACCAGGCTGTCCCACTGACAAAATTTGAGGGTCTGTCCTCAGCATTCATTCTTAAATTTTCTCTGCTTTTTTCCTGAAGCCGTTGATTCTTGCTGAGATTCATAAGAGGGCTGCACCGTGGCCGATCCATTGTTGTTAACAGATTTGCCTGCTATAACCAGTGGGTGATATAACTGTTACTGTAACACTTCAGCTTGCGCTGGGGTAGGAATAAGACTTGAGCAGAAACTTGTTCGGAACCAAAAGAACTAAGCATTTGCTTTGTAGAGTTTTTATAATGGTTACACACAGAGGATTATAGCAATCAATCGGTAACGAGATGTCAAGAATGTATTGAAAAGTTGAGTCTGCCTTTAACAACTTTGTATGGATTTCTACAGTGAGGGAAGTTGATTACAGTGAATTGCTCATTATCAGGATTATACATCTTTTCTCGTGAGATCCAGCAATGACTCTCTGAATGCTATTCAAATACAAGGGTCATAGAGTCATAGAGATATACAGCATGGAAACAGTCACTTCAGTGCAACTTGCCAATGCCAACCAGACATCCTATACACATCTAGTCCCATTTGCCAGCATTTAGTCCATATCCCTCTACACACTTCCTATTCATATACCCATCCAGATGCCTTTTAAATGTTGTAATTATACCAGCATCCATCACTTCCTCTGACAGCTCATTCCATACATGCACCACCCTCTGCATGAAAATGTTCCCTTTAGGTCCCTTTTACGTCTTTCCCCGCTCACCTTAAACCTACGTCCTCTAGTTTTGGACTCCCACACCCCAGGGAAAAGACCTTGCTTATTTACCCTAGCCATGCCCCTCATAATTTTATAAACCCCTATAAAATCACCCGTCAGCTTCCGACACTTCAGGGAAAATAGCCCCAGCTTATTCAGCCTCCCAATAGTTCAAACCCTCCAACCCTGGCAACATCCTTGTAAATTTTTTCTGAACCTTTTCTAGTTCCACAACATCCTTCCCATAGGAGGGAGACCAAAATTGCATGCAATACTCCAAAAGTGGCTGAACCAATGTCCCGTACAGCTGCAACATAACCTTTCAACTCCTATATTCAGTGCATTGACCAATAAAGGCAAACGTACCAAATGCCACCTTCACTATCCTATTTACATGTGACTTCACTTTCAAGGAACTATGAACCTGCACTTCAAGGTCTCCTTGTTCAGCAACACTCCCCAGGACCTTACCATTAAGTGTATTAAACCTGCCCTGATTTGCCTTTCCAAAATGCAGCACCTCACATTTATCGAAGTTAAACTCCATCTGCCACTCCTCAGCCCATTGGCCCATCTGATCAAGATCCCATTGGGTTGTCATAGCCAAGACCAAATGCTCCTCACTCGATATCCATTTATATTAAATTCCTGCAGGAGTGGGAAATTTATCTCTGCCAATTTATTAGCCTCAGGACAGAAGGTTCAAATTGCACTTGTCATTTAGTTGTTGCCATAGTGATTGTTCACCGCCATATTTGTCGAGATTCAGTGAGTCAGACATACCTCAACAACATAAGTCTCTATAATATTTTCCCGAGGTAGGAACCAGTGAGCAACCTCCTCTTCGTTCATTGCTGGTGTCAGATAGAACTGCGTCAGGTATTCCCTCAGCAACCTGCACACCTGCTCCACATCCCGACGCTCCATTGGTCGCAGGCCAGGCGTTTTTGTGGTCTGGAACATTAGTAAAACATCAGAATTTACAGAAACAGGCAAAAGACCTAGGACCTGATTTTTCATGCACACACCATCACTGCCATTTTATAAAGTCCTTAAATCTTTTACATTTCTGGACAGGTTATTCAATTATCCAGGCACTACCCCACGTCAGTAACCAATATCACAGCTATACGACTGACTGGTAAAAAAAAAAAACTCTGTATTCTTTCCCACTCCTAAGTTCTTTACTTACCCCTAAATTCTTCATTTATTTTTATCTCTTGCCCCCGAGGATTTGAACCATTCACGAAAGAGTACAAGTTGCCCAGATCAATTCCTTTCAAAACATATACGAAACCTCTTTTGCAAAATAAAATCCAACAGTCTCAACATTTAGCTTAGTCCCTGGATATTGCAGATCACCTTTGTTGCCCCTTTCCTGTTACTGGAGATCCTGACAGATATTGAAAATAATTTGAGACCTTAAGCACGCTGTCAGTTTGGAATTTTATTCCCTAAGTTACATTTAACTTCAACTATTGCTCCAACACGCAATAATCACAGCGCTAGATATAAAAAGGTCATCATGCATTTCATTTGGGTAACCTTGAGGCCTTAACAGTTTTCCCTGCCCCAGGCTTAAAAAGTCATTCTCACCCATGGAAACATTAAATTATGAGACCACTCGTTTAAGAATTCCACTTTCCACAGTAAGTGTCACCTTTTGCTGGGGTGCAGCCCCAAACAGCTACCCCCCACAGCCCTCACACCTTTCTGTATTTCTATTCCAGGGACTGTGCCTCAAGGTGGGCAATAGGTGGTGCAAGGCAGCAACAGAAGTGCAGCAACTGTGCACTGTACAGCCAAGATTTAGTAAACAGGTACAGGAACCTGCCAGAAGTCCTCCACACACCTTCATCATCTTTGACTTGGGAACTGGACTGGGGGTGTAATGCTGTCAGACAAATGGGTGGATCCACCATGAACAATTCCATCAGACAGGACATTCCAGCAATACACTTGAAATTCCCAGGCTGCCTGTGTGCTTTATCAGGTGCAGTCCCAGTAATGTCTCCTTGGTGGTGCCATTCGTTGCAAAACTACGAAATTGTTCTTGTCAGCAGCACCACCAATGAGCCGATAAACTACAGTCCACATTCTCACAAAATCTTTACCATATCTGCTTGAAGAAAGGACTTGTACTTAATAAGCAACTCAAGCCTCAAACCATTCTAAAGAGCTTTAAAAAGCAAAATAATTACTTTGCAGCACTGCCAGGAGTTAGTAAGCAGGCACTGGAGACTGCTAGAGGTGCTTTTTATGCACCTCAATCATCTGTGATTCAGGGAACTGGCTTTGGGGTGCAATGCTGTCAGAGAGTGAATACTAGTCAGGAAAAATGCGGTAGCCACCTTACATTCAGCAGGATTCCACACAAACAATGTAATAACGATCTGTTTTACGGTTGTTGGTTTAAGGATAAATGCTGGTTTGGAGATGGTGAGTTGTGTGTTCTGCTTCAAATAATGTCACTAGATTGTTCATATCCACACAAGTGGACAGCCAGAGCTCAGCTGAGTGTCTCATCGGAAAGAGAGCACAGTAACACAGAACTGGATTATCAGCCTGAATTATGTGGCCAAGTCTCTGGAGCAAAACTTGAGTCAATGACCTTCTGCCTTAGAAGCTACAATTAAGCACAAATTACACAGCATGATTCTTCTCGCTTCAAGTACCTTCCAGGGTCAGGCAGCATCTCATTCCTTCAGGGAATGCTCAAAAAATAAGGTTTTGACTAGTTTGAAAGTTTGAACTTTGGATTACCCTGATCAGTGGTCAAGAGGTTCAGCACCATGTCTCCAAGTTACCACAGTCAAAAATCCATTAAACATCTCTGCTTAGAGCAATGATGCAGAAAAAATGCTTAAGGAAACGTTGACCAGCAGTGTTAGTGGATGGGCATAAGGTTGTAGGAATTTAGTGTTAGGTCTCCATTTCAACTGTTCAGCTAGTTATTTAGCCACCTAAGCACAAAAGGCTGTTACTGGACTACAATAGTATCTTATATCTGCATAGCACATTTACCTTTGCAAATATCCCAAGGTGCTTCACATGCGCATATTCAGACAAACTGTGACAATAATCTTGAGAGGAGATATTAGCAGAGATAACTAAAAGCTTGGATAGAAAGGTAGACGTTAAGAAGCAGTTTAAACAAAAGAGGCAGAGAGACCTGAAGAGCTTAGGACCTAGATGCTTACAAGCCAATATTGGGAAGAAGATTGTGCTGAATTATGGTGGGCCAGAATCAAGAGGAATGCAAAGTTATCAGAGGGTTATGAGCTGGAATAAGTTATGGAGGTTACAGAGTCTGTTCATGGGCAGAACAATGCACTTAAACAAACAAAAACAGAAATTGCTGGAGAAACTCAGCAGGTCCGGCAGCATCTGTGGAGAGAAAACAGAGTAACCGCTTCATGTCCAATGAACCTCCTTCAGATCTCCACCATCCACCATTCTTCATTTTATTTTAACATATTTAACTAGATGGAGATCAGGGATACCATTCAGCTCATCCTCGGGTAGAGAGCTAGTCTCCCACAACTGGCTGTTGAACTGATTGCCTCCAATGTTTTTGTCTTCATTCCTCGTTGCTGGTATTTAAGACACTGCACAGTATTTTTCAACAGCAGTCCTGCACTGATCATTTCTCAGTTTGATGTCTCGATCAGCAAAGGCCAAATGTGACCGAGACGATATTCATGAAGAACTTTTCTCATTCCAGTTAGAATATCATTTCCTCTATGAGGTTCCCCTGGGCAATGAGAAGACGTTTATGAGTTACAGCCCCAATCGTGAGGGAATGTGACCTTCTGGAATGGTGGGAAAGTTGAAAGTTCAGGGTAAGCCTACAATTTGTTTGGGAATATTTTGTGATGCAGTAATTGTTTTATCAAAGGCGAACAAGGACCAGTCATGGCCTTAGGGTTCTGTCAGTGAAACATGATTAGGGTTAAAATGGAAAGTACTGGAGGCAAACAATATGATTAGTTAACTTGCTGCTTAGCTACTCACTAATTAGAAATGAGCAAAAAGAAAGACATGTAAAGATGAAAGAAAGAAGGGCCAATGTTAAACATGATAATGAAGGCAGCAGATTCGACCCACAAGACACAAGTAATGTTTAAAGACAGGTTTTACTGAGACACACAGTATTTAGGCTCACCTCTGGCAGTCTATATAATTTCATTGTTCGTTGCATAGTCATGTTTCTGCTCAGATGGGAGAACTTCACCTCTACTAGTTTGCGTGGGTTCAGTGACCTGTGCCAGTACCTGCCCAACAGATCACAGAATACTCTAGTCAGTCACTGACAGAACAGAGAGCTTTGCATACTGTGACGCGTGCCTGGTCCTACACCCAAACTCACATCAAATGCAAAACATACTCCTGGGCTCACTCCTGGAATAACACCCACTAAACATAGCAAGAGTCTCCAAGACATGACAAGTACATCTATACACTCCAACTGTGCACCACACTCCAGACTGCACCTGAGCATTGCTACTATCACACACAGATTATACCACAGTGTACTGATAACCAGAGGCAATTCAGATAGATTAAAAACAAAGCTGGTTATGGACAGGAGAGAAGTTGTAAATCCTAGAATGAACTAGAATCATACTACAGAATACTTTAGATTGGAAAGCAGAAGTAAAAGCACTCTAAATTAATGCAGCATTCACAACATGATAGCTGAATTGATGGTGCCAGCATAAGTTGAAGTAAAAATTCAACTGTCATTACAGAGTCACGGCTGCAAAATGATCAAGACTGGTTACTGAATACAAAAGGAAAATTGACATTCGGCTTGAATAAGTAAAAGGAAAAGGAAGTGGGGTTGTGCTGATTATAAGGGATGGGATCATTATAGTAGTGATGTAGTATCTCCAAAAGAAAGAGTACAATGTAGAATCTATTTGGATGGAGCCAAGAAACAGGGGATATCAAACATCCGAGTGGTTTATAGGCCACCAAACACAAGTGGGAATACAGGGCACGGTTCAAACCAGGAAATTACAGGTGTCTGTAGCAAGGGGATTACAGTGGTCACCAGTCAGTCTATATACAGGCTGGATAAATATAATGAGACCAATGCAGCAGGGAAAGATTTCCTCGAATGTGTTCAAGTCAGATTTTGGGGGCAATTAGGGTGTAGGCTACTTTAGATCTAGAATTATGAAATGAGAAAGGGTAAAATTATAATCTTTAGGGATTGTGACCATAGTATGTTAGGACTTTCCATTAAGTTTGATAAAGACATGGTTCAATCTGAAATTAGAGTCATAAACCTAAACAAGGGCAACTTATGAAGGTATGAGGAGCAAATTGACTGTGGTGGTGTAGAAAAGTGTATTGAAAAGTTTGACAGTTGATAGGCAATGGCTAGTTTTTAAAGAATTAACGATTGGCCTTCAACAAACATTTTACCGCTGCCCTGTGTGCCCATTCCTGCGGCAGTTTCCAGGCCAGGCCCCCACCACGTCCCTGACTCTGGTCAGCCCCACAGCCATGGCCCTCCCCTCCAACAGCCAGCAGAACCAGTGATTTACGGAGGAATGTAATGGAGGTTCACCAGACCGATTCATGGGATGGTGGGATCATCATGAGGGAAGATAGAAGAAAGAGAGAGACTGGACCTGCATTTTCTCGGAGTTTATAAGAATGAAGCATGATCTCTTAGAAACTTACAAGAATCTTAAAGGGATAGACAGAGCTGACACAGAAAGAACGTTTCACCTTACTCTAGGGTCTGGAACTACGGGAATAAAAGGCAAGCCATTTCGGAATGAGAGGAGGGGGAATTTCTTCATTCAGAGGGTGGTGAATCTTTGGAATTCTCAAACACAGAGTTATGGAAGCTCAGTCATTGAATAAGCTCCAGTCAGATTTCTAGGTGCTAATGATAACAAGGAATATAGCAGTACAGTAGGAATTTGGTGCTGAGGTAGACGATCAGCCATGATCAAAAATGGGGTTACGAGGGACTGAAATGACTTCTCCTGTTCCTATGTTCCTAACTACATGGAAGCTACAGGGAGAGGGAGAGGTTTATATGTTGCCAGAGGTGATGAGAAAATTGCACACTCCCTTAGACACGAATTTACTCTCTAAGCAGTATCACTTTGAAAGTGCTCAAAAGTCAAAGGCTCAATTGACAACATCTTTAAGGGTATTAACAGAAATAGCATAACCCATGGTCTGTCACACAATCAGTGGCAGAATCAATTTTATTGCCTACTGAAAAGGAATGACCATTCGTTTAACCAATATCCAGCCCAGAACAGAATGGCTTTGTCTAGTCTGAGATGCTGGGGATACACTAATAAGGGAATTAACTTACTGACTGTCACTGGACATCAGTAGAGAGACAATGGAATAGTTTCCCATGTTGTTATTATTCACTCGTGTGACATGGACATTGCTGGCTGGCCAGCATTCATTGCCTGTCCCTTGTTGCCATTGAAGGTGGTTATGAGCTGCCTTCTTGAACTGGTGCAGGCTCTGCGCTATAGGTAGACCCACAATGCTTTTAGTGAGGTAATTCTGGTATTCTGATGCAATGACACCTAAGGAACTGCAGTATATTTTCAAGTCAGGATGGTGAGTGGTTTGGAGGGGAACTTCCAAGTGGTGGTGTTCCCACGTATCTGCTGCCCTTGCCTTTTTAGGTGAATCTTTGGGTGAATTTCTACAGTGCACCTTGTAGACGGTACATACTGCTGCTTCTGAGCATCCATGGAGAAGGCAGTGAATGCTTGCGGATGTGGTGCCAATCACACAGGCTGCTTTGTCCTGGATAGTGTCAAGCTTCTTGAGTGCTGCTGGAGGTGCACTCATCCAGGCATTCCATCATACTTCTGACTTGTGCCTTGCAGATGGTGGTCAGGATTTGGAGGGTCAGGAGGTGAGTTACTCACACTAATACTCCTAAACTCTGAATTGGTCTTGTAGCTGCTGTATCTATATGGTAAGTCCAGTTAAGTTTCTGATTAATGATAACTGCCAAGATCTTGTTAGTGAGGGATTCAGTGATGGTAAGCCCAATGAGCATCAAGGGACAGTGGTTAGATTATCTCTTACTGGTGATAACCATTGCCTGGCATTTGTGTGGTGCAAATGTTACTTGCCACTTGTCAGCCTAAGCCTGGATATTGTTGCATTTGAACATGGACCGTTTCAGTATCTGAGGAGTCGTGAATTGTACTGAACATTGTCTAATCATCAGCAAACATCCCCACATCTGACCTTATGATGGAAGGAAGATCATTGATAAAGAATTTGAATGCGGTTCAGCCAAGGACACTACCCTGAGGAACTCCTGCAGAGATGCCTGACCTCCGATAACCACAGATGTCTTCCTATGTGCCAGGTAAGGTTCCAAACCGCGAAGAACTTGCTCCTTGATTCCCATTGATTTCAGTTTTGCTAGGGATCCTTGATGCTATACTTGGTCAAATGCAGCCTTGATGTCAAGGGACATATTATTTAGGCAGGGAGCTATACCTGGAGGCCAGAGGCTTACAGAACAACAGGTATGTTGAAAAGTACAGAGAGTTGCAGGTATACACCTGGCTATACTTGGAACACATTGCTATACTACATCAGCCAACGGTGCAATTTTTCGCACAGATTGTACCTACTATAATCCAATGCATCCAGTCTGACATACAGGAACATATCCTGTGGCACCCTGGGATTCCCCATCTACTATCCCTGCACACCTGAGACATCCACCCATCCATACAGCTACAACTCCAGAGAAAGATAACAAGGACTCTCTTTCTGACACCCAGGAATCCTATCTCACATCATCCACATCCCTCTGCAACCACACCTCAACCACCTGCTAAATGCAGATGAGATAGTAGGGCTTGTGTGATCTTAATGCGTTAATTTACTTGCCATGAAAATGTCTGATAAAAACAGTGTGGCGTGAGCTTTACATTGTATTTGCTGTTAGAGATAATTGTAATTAGGTATAAATCAGCTGAAGTTGACCTAAAACGTGCACGTATTTCGTAGAGACCCTCTTGTGGTGCAGTGGAAGTGTTCTTACTCCAAGGACCAGGAGGCCTGAATTCAAATCCCACCTGCACCAGAGGTGTGTAATAACATCTCTGAACAGGTTAACTTTAAAAATAGATTAATTTTAAAAAATTAAACATGTATTACTCATTAGGATGGATCTTACCTACAAGTGCCCACAGGTTTCGGCAGCACTACACCTGCTGTATACACAGCCTGATAGCTGCCTTCGAGGTTGACTCTCCTGGTGATCTCGCGGATCAGGACTGGAGCCACACGTTTGGAGCGCAGCTTCTTATGCACACACAGAAAATTAATCTCCACCATCTTCTTCAGACTGCCAGAAAAATAAAACAAGAAATTTTAGAAATATAAACTAAATAAAACACTGAAAATCAAACAAAAGCAGCAGGTTATGCAGCATCTTTGGGGAAAGAAGTTTCAGTGTTAAAGATCTCTCCCACTTACTCGCCCCACAACCTCACTGAATGACAGCCCCAATGCTCAACATACCCTCCCACTGTCTTTCTGACACTCCAAGCCCATTCTCATCGCCAGACATCTCCATCCCCACTGCCTGGTACGTACCAACTTCCTCACTGATTGTCGCACCATCTGCTGGAACCTCCCACCAAACCAAAACTCACCACCTGGCAAACACATACACCCATACCCTATCAATGCCTGGCATACGCTCCCTCCCCTCCCATCAAGTCTTTCTACTCTATGAAAGCACGTTTTTCAGGTTTGGAGAAAGGTTGTAAAAGAAACAAAAAGGAAGGAGATTTCCAGAAAACGAGACTGAAATGGCCAAAGGTTTCACAGCTAAGGATGGGCAAACAGAATAGGGTCAAAGAAGATCAAAGTTGAAATTCTGGGAATATGCACAGGAACTATATTCTCATCTTGGTGAGGAGAACACAAAGTTAGACAGGAGCAAGTTCTGGAGGATGAGGACAAATGTGCTGAAACTAATGGAAAGGGAGAATGTGGTGGCAATGACGTGAGAATAATAACCTAGAACCCAGAATAACTTGCTGGAGACATGCATTCAAATCTATGGCAGATGGTGAAATAGGCCAAAAAAAATACTAGTCTAATGGCAACCATGCAACCACTATAGGTTGTAATTAAAAACCCATCTGGTTCACAAATGTCTTTTATGGCAGAAAATCTGTCATTCTTACCTGGTCCTGCCTACATGTGACTCCCACAACAATGCGGTTGATTCATAACTGCTTTCTGAGCAATTACTGGTGCGTAATAAATGCGGCTGAGCCAGTAATATCCATATGTGAATAAATTTTTAAAAGCTGTACAGGACCTCGGTGAGACCACACCCGGATTGCTTTGTGCAGCTTAGATCTCCTTACCCATGGAAATAGAAAGAATGCAGTAAAGGTTTATCAGATTGATTCCTCGAATGGCAGGGCTGTCGTATGAAAACAGACTGAGTTGACAGGGTCTGTATACATTGGAGTTTAGAAGAATAAGAGGGGCGCTGATTGAGAGGTATAAAATTTGGACAGGGCTAGACAGGGATGATGTTCCGTCTGGCTGGGGCAGCCAGAACAAGGTAGATCAGAATAAGTGGCAGGCTGTTTTATACTGAGAGGAGGAGAAATTTCTTCACTCAGCTGTAAACAACCCTGTAGACAGGAGCCATTGAACTAATTTCCTAGTCTTTTCCCTTGCCAATGACACCATGTGTTTTTTGCAGGGGTGTGTGTCTGTGTGTGTGTGGGGCTGTGTCTAGGGGGTAGATTTATAAGGGGGTTACAGTTTTAACTAGTAGAGTTTTATGTCAGTGGTCCATAATTATTTATGTGTAGCTAAAATCTATTCAGTTGTAACAAGCAGTAATCCTTGATAAGTACAGTCTTCCCTGTCAACTTAGGTTTAAAAGACAAGTGAATGGAGTTTTGTGCACTTCTATAAAATCTTTAACTATTATGATGATTCCAGGATTAGTGGGGTTTGATTACTGGTGTGCAATTTTCTTTTCTTCTGCACAGTTCTCAAGATCTGCAACTTCTGGTACCAGAAATCAATAATGCAATTTGCATCAGAATGTTGGTTGCTGTGCGCAGCTTAGAGGAAACATTATATTTCCAAGTCAGAGTGGTGAGTGGCATGGAGTGGTATTGCAATAGTGGCATACCCATGTACTTGCTGCTCTTGTCCCAAAGATGGCAGTGGTCCTGGGTTTAAAAGGTGGTTTCAAAGGAGCCTTGGTGAATAGCTGCAATGCATTTTGCAGATGGTACATACATTGCTGTAGGTGATGGAGTGCATGTTTGGACATATGATGCAGGCTGCATTTTTCCTGGATGGCATTTAGCTTCTTGAGTATTGCTGGAATTGCACTCATCCAGGCAAGTAGACAGTGTTCCATCACACTCCTATCATGTACTTCATAGGTGCTGAACAGGCTTTGAGAAGTCAGGATGTGAGTTACTCATCACGGGCTATCTAGGCTCTAACCGGCTCATCATCAAGAGCTCCAAGATGGCGGCAGAGTAGGAATCGCCAGTCGGACCTTCTCTGCTCGCCAGATCGTTTTTCTTTTCTTTCGTTTTTTTCCTCTTTTTAGCTTTTTCTTCCTTCCACCCCCAACTTTTGTTTGCCCTGCCCTGCCTGCAGCGTGAAGTCGAGGGAGACAGATCGCGGCCAAGCCTCAGCAGGAGCTGAGCGCGTGGGCTGAGTCCCTCGGAGGAGCGAGCCAGCCGATTTATGGGCCAAGTCCAGCAGCGGCAGCGGAGCGAGCATGGGCCGAGTCCAGCGGCGGCAGAGCAGGTCCTAGACGGAGGCCGGCAGGTGGAGGCAGCGCGGCCTCGTGCTCTGGGGCTGGCAGGCATGGACTCATGATGGTGAGGGACTGGAATGTAAATACTTATGGTCACTTTTATCATCATTCCGGACTTTTTAAAACTCTGTTCCCATGCTAACCTTTTTTTAAACTCTGCAACAACACAGTATTTTTACATAGGTACTCTGTACCTAAGATGGCGCTGAGAGGAGACAGTACAAACTTTTCACTGCACTCATTCGAGTGCACGTGACAATAAAAGGCTATTCTGATTCTATATAGCTAATCTAGTTCAGTTCTAGGCAATAGCAACACCCAGAATTCTGTGATAGTAATGCACTGAATGACAAGGGACACTACATAGATTTGCTTTTGTTGGAGATGGTCATTGCTTAGTATTTGCGTGGCATGAATGTTACTTGTCACTTTACAGCCCAAGGCTGGCTACTGTCCAGGTCTAGCTGCATTTGGATGTGGATTGCTTCAGTTTCCAAGGAATCACAAATGTTGCTGATCATCAACTATGCAATCAGCAACAAACATCCCTCCTTCTAACATCACTGTGATGAAGCAGCTGAAGATGGTTGGGCCCAGGACACTACCCTTAGGAATTCCTGCAGAGACATCCTGCTTCTAAAATGACTGACCTCCAACCACCACACCCATTATGCTAGAAACTACTTCAAAAGGTGGAGAGTTTTCCCTGATCCCCACCTACTCCAGCTTGCTAGGGCTCCTTGATGCCTCATTTGGACAAATTGCAGCTTTGGTGTCAAGGGCAGTCACTCTCACCTCACCTCTGAAATTCAGCTCCTTTGTCTATGTTTGAACGAAGACTATTGAGGTCAGGAGTTAGGTGGCCCTGGCAGAATCCAAACTGAGCATTAGTGAGCAGGTTATTGCTCAGAAGCTGCTGACTGCTGGCACTGTTGATGACACCTTCCATCACTTTACTGATGACCAAATGTAGACTGATTGGTGGTAATTGATTAAAATAGATGTGAGCTGCTTTTTGTGTGCAGACACACCTGGGCAATCTTCCACATTTTCAGGACCATCAGACGTGTAAGCAAAATTAGGCAATTCAGCCCATCGCGTCTGCTCCACCATTTGATCTTGGCTATGTTTCTCAACTCCATTTTCAGGCCTTTTCCCATAACAGCTTCATACCCTTACCAATCAAGAAACCAGCTATCTCTGTCTTAAATATACTTACTTAGCTGCCATAGCTTTCTGCAGCAATGTTCCACAATGACAGATACCAATGCTGTAGCTGTACTAAAACAGCTTGGCTAGGGGTGCGCCAAGTTCTACAGCACAAGTCGGAATATGCCTCAGCTGTTTCTTAATAGGAAGTGAAACAAATAGGCTGAAGACTGGCACCTGCGATCTGGGCTTCTAGAGGAGGCAGAGATATATCATCCACTTGGCACTTCTGATTGAAGATTATTGCAAATGCTTCCACCTTTCCTTCTGCACTGATGTGCTGGGTTACCACTTCATTAAGAATGGGACATTTATGGAGTCTTCTCGTCCAGTAAGTTAATTGTCCACCACCATTCACGATAGGATGTGGCAAGATTACAAATTTTAGATCTGATCCGTTGGTTGTGGAATCACTTAGCTGACAACACTACAGTTGTAGATCCGATATCAAACAATGATAAGACAGAAGGAGAAAGGATGCTTGGTGGCATGGTGCAAAGATAACAATCTGTTCCTCAATATCAGCAAAACTAAAGAGCCGATCATCGACTTCAGGAAGCAAGGAGGAGGGCACACCCCCTATCTACATCAATGGAGCGGAAGTGGAAATGGTTGAGAGCGTCAAGTTCCTAGGAGTTACGATAACCAACTATCTGCCCTGACAACCCATGTTGATATGACAGTCAAGGAGGCGCAATAAAGGTTCCTGAGGATAAACAGGCCAAGGAAATATGGCATGTCCATAAGGACCCTCACCATCTTTCATAGGTGCACCATAGAAAGCTTTCAATCTGGATGCATCACTGCTTGGTATGGCAACTGCTCTGCCCAGGACCATAAGAAACTATAGAAAGTTATGAACACAGCCCAGACCATCATGCAAGCCAACCTCCCATCCATTGACTCCATCTATAGTTCTCGTTGCTGCAGAAAGGTAGCCAACATTTCAAAGACCCCTCCAATCCCAGTTATAATCTCTTCCGTAAGGCAGAAGGTACAAAAGTTTAAACAAACGTACCAACAGGTTCAAAAACAGCTTCTTCTCCACTGTTATTATACTGCTGAATGGACCTCTCAAATTTCAAATCTAATGTTGATCTTGCTTTTTGCACGCCCTTCTGTGCAGTGTAGCTTTGTATGCTGTCCTCTGTTCAATCGCCCTATGATCCGTATGTCCTTGTGTGTCATGATCTGCCTGTGCTGCACACAAAACAAATCTTTTCACTGTACTGAGGTACGTGACAATAATAAATCAAATCAGATCTGTCTATCACTTGCTGCTGATCATGTTTGGCAATATAAGTATTCCTGTTTTGTAGTTTCAGATTGACAACTCATATTTCGATATGCCTGGTGTTGCTCCTGGGGTAGCATGGTAGCTCAATGGTTAGCATTGCTGCCTCACAGCACCAGGGAGCCAGGTTCAATTCCAGCCTCAGGCAACTGTCTGTGTGGAGTTTGCACCTTTTCCCTGTTCCTGTGTGGGTTTCCTCTGGGTGCTCTGGTTTCACCCCATAGTCCAAAGATGTGCAGGTTCATAGAATCATAGAATCCCTACACAGTGTGGAAACAGGCCCTTCAGCCCAACAAGTCCACACGGACCCTTGGAGCATCCCACCCAGACCAATCCCCCTAATCTACAGACCCCTGAACACTACGGGCAATTTAGCTTAGCCAATCCACCTAACCTGCACATCTTTGGACCGCAGTACCCAGAGGAAACCCATGCAGACAGGGGGAGAATGTACAAACTCCACACAGACAGTCGCCCGAGGGTGGAATTGAACCTGGATCCCTGGTGCTGTGAGGCAGCAGTGCTAACCACCGAGTCACCGTGCCGCCCTAAGGTTAGGGTGGATTAGCTGTGCTAAATTGCCCATAGTGTCTAGGGATGTGCAGGCTAGGTGGGTTAGCTTCTGGAAATGCAGGGTTACAGGGATAGGGGGTGGGTCTGGTTAATATGCTGTTCGGAGGGGTGGTGCAGACTCGATGGACAGAATGGCTTGCTTCCACACTGTAGGGGTTCTATGATTCTATGCCCTCATGCACACTTAACTACACCAGGGGTGATCCCCTGGCTCAACGGTTTATAGTGAGGGGTATATGCCAGGCCAGGGATGGCGCTGATTATATCGGAGCACAATTCTGTTGCTGATGACGGTGCACATCATCTTGTGAATGCCCAGTCTTGAGTTGCTCGATCTGTTCAAATTCTGTCCCATTTGGCACAGTGTAGTGTCATACAACACGACGAAGGGTATTCTCAATGTGAAGGCGGGTCTTTGCGGCAATTGCTCTTACAGACGCTATCACAGACAAACGCATCTGCTGACTGATGAGGACGATGTCAAGCACGTTTTTCTCGTCCTCACATTATGAAGGAGGGCTTTGAAGGTCAACAGGGTTGTTTTTGTCATTGTAGTTTCCAGTGCCTCGGTCAATGCCAGTTTCATTTCTTTTTTGAGACTTTCTAGAGACCGATGCAACTGAGTTGCCAGGTTGGCCATTTTGAAGGACAGTTAATAGTCAACCACATTGCTGTGGGTCTCGACTCACATGTATGATAGACCAGGTAAGGACAGCTGTTTCCTTCCCTAAATGATGTTAATGAATCAGATGGACTTTCTGACAATCAGCAAAGGTTTCATGATCTTCATTAGATCTTTTAGTTCAAGACTTTTATTGAATTCAAATTCCACCATCTGCCGTGGTTGGATTCAAACGGAGGTCCTACTACATGGGTCGCTCGATTACTGTATGGCAAGAATACTACATCATTCCCTCCCGAACAGTTATGGTTAAAGTGGCTTGAGCACAAGGAGGGAATGAAGAAACGAAAGATGGCAGAAAAAGATAAATGAATCAAAATGGAATCAATAAGACAGTAAATCAAAATGAGAAAATTAAAATTAGAATTGCAAAGAGATGACAAAGCAAAGGAACATAAATATGTTCTTAAAACAATGCCGTTGAAACAGGAGACATCAGACACTGATCCAGGCTCTGGCATTGAGAATTTACATCAATATTTGAAGTCCAGTAAGGAAATGTTTAAGTCTGCACAGACCCTATCAAAATTTGAGCCAAATGATGTGGAAGTATGCTTCATGTTATTTGGGGAAATGGCTAGACAACTGAAATAAGAACATAAGAACTAGGAGCAGGAGTAGGCCATCTGGCCCCTCGAGCCTGCCCCGCCCTTTAATAAGATCATGGCTGTACTTTGAGACTTAGCTCCACTTACCCGCCCACTCACCATAACCCTTAATTCCTTTACTGTTCAAAAATTTATCTAGCCTTGCCTTAAAAACATTCAGTGAGGGAGCTTCAACCGCTTCACTAGGCAGGGAATTCCACAGATTCACAACCCTTTGGGTGAAGAAGTTCCTCCTGACCTCAGTCCTACATCTGCTTCCCTTTATTTTGAGGCGATGCCCTCTAGTCCTAGTTTCACCTGCTAGCAGAAACAACCTCCCTACCTCCACTTTATCTATTCCCTTCATAATCTTATATGTTTCTACAAGATCTCCCCTCATTCTTCTGAATTCCAATGAGTATAAGCCCAGTCTACTCAGTCTCTCCTCATAATCCAACTCTCTCAACTCTGGAATCAATCAAGTGAATCTCCTCTGCACCCCCTCCAGTGCTAGTATATCCCTTCTCAAGTAAGGAGACCAAAACTGCACACAGTAGTCCAGGTGTGGCCTCACCAGGACCCTATACAGCTGCAGCATAGCCTCCCTGTTTTTAAACTCCATCCCTCGAGCAATGGCAGACAAAATTCCATTTGCCTTTTTAATCACCTGCTGCAATCCCACCTTCAGCGATTCATGCACAAGGACACCCAAGTCCCTTTGCACAGCAGCGTGCTGCAATTTTTTACCATTTAAAACATAGTCCATTTTCCTGTTATTCCTACCAAAATGGATGACCTTACACTTATCAAATGGACAAAAGAGGACTTGCCATTGCTCATGTGCAGTAAGTTGTCAGGTAAAGGACAGGAAATTTATGCTTCACTATCAAAGGAGGGTTTTCGGCATTATGATCCTGTTAAAAAGCTATATTGTGCCTGATGCCTACAGATGAAGATTCTGGAATTTAAATAAATAGTCTGGGCAAACCTAATTTGAATTGAAAGGGTGAAGCAAAGTAATTTTCACAGGTAGATTTGAGGATTAGATGCTGAAACCACGTAGAAACTCTTAGAAGATGGTTTTTTAAATTCTTCTAAGAAGCAATCACCTTCAGTAATAAGAAGCCATGTTAAGGACAAAAGTGATAACAGCTGACAATTGTGAATTAATCCATAAAACTAAATCTTTTATCCATCACCTTTTAAACTCAAAACGGATCGAAAATGGGAGTGAAAGGATGCAAGTAAAAGAATGAATTGCTGGGAATGCTCCATGGTCTCCTCCTTAAATCAGAGGAGGATGTACTGGTGGTGGTGAAAAATGGAAGCAGAGGTGCTTCTATTGAAACAAGGTGGGACCTATTTGTTCAAAACATTTGCAAGTTGTGAAGGAAACCCATGGGACTTATTTGAATTTGTAAGAATGAACCCGAAAAGGAAACTTAAGATGGCTCAGATAGTAGCAATCTCTTTAAAATCTCCAATAAATCTATACTTGGCCCCCACTTATTTCTGATAGAGTCCTACAGCGTGAAGACAGGCCCTTCGGCTCAAACTGGTCCATGCCAACCAAAATGTCCATCCACGCTAACCCAATTTCCCTGTACATGGCCCATATCCTTCTCAACCTTTCCTATGCATAATCCCTTGGCAACATCATCCAAAAAAAGGTGTCAGTATCCCGATGGCATCTAGCTTTATAGAGCGGTGGGTGCGTGGAATGCGCTGCTGGCAGTGGTAGTGGAGTCAGATACATTAGAGGCATTTAAACGACTCTTGGATAGGCACACGGATGATAGTATAAATGTAGGGTATGCAGGGTAGTTTGATCTTAGTAGGATAATAGGTCAGCAAAACATTGTGGGCCTGTACTATTCTACATTCTATCTCATCACCAGCTCTCGGTCCCTCCACTGCCTTGATATAACCAGCTTAGATAAGCACAACTTCCTTCAATTAAACACAAGCAAGATCACAGCAAGTTGCTGCCATAAACTCTGTTCGCTCACCCCAGCCTCAAGTTGGGAGACTGTCTGTAGATCTCCACAAACATTTGGAAAGTAGAAGGCACAACACCAAAGGAAGAGGCAGAATGAGAGAAAGAAAAACTTGTCATTAGTCTCATAATTAAATATAATTTTACGTACTGGTCATAAATCTGAATATTAGCTGGAATGGCACTGATGAAACCCACTAATTTCTTGTTGGAGACGACCCGTACACCGCAGTGCCACTGAAGCAGCCAGCCAGGGGGACGCAGTGCCCTGGGGAAGGAGACAAACAATGATATATTTACTTAAATTCATCATGAAGGAAACTAAACTATGTACCCTGAAAGCATATGTGCACTGATTGATAACATCTGCTCACTTTCTTTCACTGAGCTGGTTAGTACTGGACCCAATAGCGAGTCACATGAAGCAGCCTAGCATTATCCACACTTTTAACAGTTGTTCGTGGGATCCAACAAAAATGAGGCCCCAAGTGCAACTCGATGTGCAGAACTCTCCTTATTGTTGGTACTAAGCTTCTGTCTTCAACAGGTCAGTTGCTGTTAAACCAGTACCAAATGTATATTTATTTACAAGTTTAATTTCACAAAGCATGTTGAACTAACTAGTTACAGTGACACTAATATGGCTCATATTCTAGATTCCAAGGGCCATATATTCTATATATTCCAAGGGCTTGTTTATCATTCCATAATGCGGTGTCTATGATGTGTCAGCTATCTTGAACTGGAGAAGAATTCAAATTTTTAGCTAACTCGTTCAGATTATAGGGAAACAATTTTGTTAGAAAAGTCAATTGAATAGTATTTACAAAGCAATCATAATTACATGTTAAATCTCTTTTGTTCAACTTCAACGATTTCTAAATATTTCGCATTTAAAGGAATGGTGGTAGTCTTATCTGAGGAATAGGAACGGTCCTTAATTTCCAACTAATAAAGGAAAAAGTAGCAAAGTATAAGTTAGTACAAATTGCACACTAACCTATCACCCACTGACTGTATGGTACCCTAACTCCTTCAGACAATGGTGACGATTATAGAGCTAACTTAGACCCCATCTCCCTCACATTATTAGGTCAATAATTATTTTCTTAGAGCACGTTACTGGTTGCGCAGAGACGACTGTATTTTGCGTCTGGTCTTCATGGTACTAGACTTTAGAAAGTGATGTCACTTGATCCAAGAATGCTAACATGTCCAGATCAAATACAGCCTTGATTAGAACTGGAACTGGGACTGATTTTCTTGCAGTTGAAAGAAAATTTATAAATCTAGCCATGTAACTGGTTACTCTACTTACCACAGTAAAAATTCAGGTGAATAATCAAATCTAAACATGTTGTCATCATCCTCCACGTAGTTCTCATTCAGCAGGGTATACAGTTCCTTCAACTGAGTGTTCAAACACAAACAGGTTATACATCTTAGGGTTGTAGCAGAACATTGCACTGTACATATGTCAAGTAAGGAGATAGGATTTGTACAAAAAAAAATCTGTTGTTTCTATGAGACATGGTTGGTGAACAACCTCACAATTCAAAATCTTGAATCCAAGTCTTATTCATACTATTGAAAAGTAAACTTACTTCTTATAATGTCTGCTTACATTGCTTATCTATGCCAAGTGGAGTGGAGTGTAAAGAATTTAAGTGGGGAGTTGGCGGGACTGATGTATGAGGAGACATTGACTAGGCTAGGATTGTTTTCACTGGTGTTCAGACGAATGAGGGGGGACATCATACAGACTTATAAAATTTTAACAGGACTAGACAGGGTAGATGCAGGGAGGATGTTCCTGATCGTGAGCGTGCCCAAAACCAGGGGTCGCAGTCTGAGGATTCGGGGTAGACCACTTAGGACGGAAATGCGGAGACATTTCTTCACCCAAAGAGTGGTGAGCCTGTGGAATTCATTACCACAGGAAGTAATTGATGCCAAAACACTTGAGGAGGCTATATATAGCACGAGGGGAGAATAGGATCTAAGGTTATGGGGAGAAAGCAAGAATAGGCTATTGAGTTGGACAATCAGCCATGATAGTGATGAATGGCGGAGCTGAATGGCCTCCTCATACTCCAGTGTTTCTTTGCTATATCAGCACAAAGAAGCCGGAGTCCTATTGGAACAGATCCTTGTGCACTGTAGGATCATCCCACTCCCTGCACCATACAGGTCAGCTTTAGGACAAAACCTTAAAATCAGCTGAGCTATCAGCCATAGTAGGATACCCTAGCTTGACACAGCGCATCCCGTCAGCGCTTTATGGTCAAATAAATCAACATATTGCACGTACATAGAACGTTTTAGCGAGACACTACTTGTAACTTTACCTCAAGTTGCTGACATAACAAAAAGCTTTTTAATTAAACAACTTTGTTGCACATACTCTGAAATAGTGTTTGTTTCAAACCAGCATTCCACGAAAGCTATGCAATACATTCCCAGTATATTCTTGATCCTCTCACAAGCAGACAGCCGATGGAATATTAATTGATATGCAATCCACTTGTTAGCAGTACTGCATGAGTCAAAAATCACTTAACAGGAAAACACTGCAAATACTAGAAATTGAAATAAAAACATAAAACACTGCCAACACTCAGCAGGTCAGGGAATAGTTGTGCTTCAAATTGCTGCTTGACCTGTTGAACATTTCCTCCATTTCATGTTTTTGGGTCAGATTCTACATGGATTATGTGACTGTTAATATTGCTTATACTCTTATACACATATGAATAGATTCAAGAATACCTTCAGACTTTTGAACGGCCCTCTCAAATGAAAATTCTGATCTCTCTCTCTCTGCTCTTTCTCTGTAGGTGTAACAGTACATTCTGCACTCTGTTCTGCTACCCTGATGCACGTCAGAAAATCTACCCTTTTAGCATGCAAAACAATTCTTTTCACTGTATCTCACCACATGTGACAACAATAAATCAAGTTAGGATTCTGATCATTATTCTGTCATAGTCACAGATCAGCAGCTTTGTTCATGATGCTCAGATCCATCGAGACTTTTTGTGTTCCCAGTAACCAGGCCAGCTGGGAGGAAGCATATTGCTCTGAAGAGCTTCATCAGGGATCGGAACCCCCATACAGAATAATGAAGGAATTCCCCAGAACACATGACATAGGCTGATCACAGCTATGAATCCAAGCCCCACCACTCTATTTTGCAGCACAAGAGCACACCAATTTATTGGATTACCTTGCCCCATACCATCCATTCTACCATCAAATCTTCTCTATGCCAAGATATGTGATATTAAATCTGATGAATGAACCCATTCCACATCAAGCACCTTGTATTAGCATTGAAAACTTCCAGGTCAGCTACAACATAGGTTAGTTGCACAGTTTAATCTCTCCCTTCTCTATCCAAACAATGTACCTCAGTGCCAATCTTACAGCAATGTCCTCTTCCAACAGTGACATTTTATTCCCAGTTCTTACACCAATATTCCATGGTCTGACTGGGACTGAGAAATTACTACTAGTTGGTACTGAACTGAATGTGGTTTTATACTGTGGAACTGTGGCCCCCAGGACCAGATCAGACTCTGCACAACTCTGAATTGGTGGCTGGAGGGGATTTGATCCCAGCCCGAGGGCAAGGGACTGTTTTAACAGAATGCAGCATGCAATGTCCTCCTAGTACTTAGAAGATCACACATAGTCCATTCAATTTGGATATTCAGGCCATCAAGGCACCAAAGACAAATCTTTTAGAGCAAGCACTGTGCACTCATTCAACAATGACTTACCACTTCAGCATTCCCAAGGTCTAGGGCATCCCATAGAAATCCCTGCGGTAGGCTATAGGGCTCTTGTCGAATATTATCTTTGTCTGGCTCAATTGGGCCATGGACTGTCACTACTTCACCTGCAAAACAAGAAGAGAGTTCATTTCATTCTGCATGAAGAAGAATCTAGACTGCAAGACTGTGAGAGCACAATCTTTCTTTTGGGCACATCCTCCATTGCTATCCCAGTTGTCAGATACAACCATCTACACAGATTATGGACAGATAGCATGTTACCCTACACGAGTTATAGGGCATGTAACAATTCCACTGGTTGAAGGTACATAAAACAATAAGATGTAGAAGCAGAAATAGGCGATTCTACTCTGCTCTGTCAGTCAACGAGATCATGGTGGACCTGGTAACCCTCAAATCCATTTTCTAGCCTTTTCCCCATAACATTGGATTCCCTTACTGATTAAAATCTGCATACCTCAGCCTTGAATATACTTAACAACCCAGCTTCAATAACTATCTGTGGTGAAGAATTCCAAAAATTGGTTATTGGTAAGTTATGGGGGGAGGTCAATAGATCTAGACCTGATGAACAAAACAAAGGACAGGGTATTCAGGGAGGATCACTATCACAGACAATGTTCGAGGAAAATAAGCAATATACCCAGACTGCCACAGTCACTTTGATAGCCAATAGGTTTGCAAGAAAGGTGAACTCCACTTGTGAATACCTTCTCTTGCATAACATGAACCCATAACTTGCTGTAGTGAAGTTTAAGATGGAGAAGGCGTGACTGCAATGAAGACCTTGTTAATTAAAAATCAGGGAACGAAGGTAACTTCATCCAGCCCTATTATCCTCTGAGCACTCTGCTGCTGATTGCTACCATTCAATTACAGCCAGTGTCTTAAATATTTCAATAAAACAGCATTTTATCCTTTTGTGGGGAAAGAGTTGTACATTTCCCCATCATTCATGCTCCCTAATGATATTTCTGACTGTTTAAGACAGGGCCAACTCTGGAATGAATAATAAACTTATAGAAACATAGGATTTTACAGTACAGAAGGAGGCCACATGGCCAATTGTGTCTGTGCCAGCTCTTGGAAGAGCTAGTCAGCTAGTCCCTTCTGTCAAGTTTCACAAGAGTAAAGAACAGGTGAGGAGATAATGTTGTAGGACCACCTTCACAGATGCAGGATCCTCAGTATCTCCAAAGAAATTCATGGCGGTATAGCTATCTAACAGAGACAGTAAGGATTTATTGGAGGTAAAAATTTGAAATGAGCACAGGCTTTGGTGGCTGGTCACATATTCGGTCAGGTGAGCAAAAGTTATATCAAAGAGGTTGGTTTTAAGGAATATCTTAAAGGAGGAGCAAGAGGTGTGAAGAGGCAGAGATATTTAGACAGGCAATTCCAGAGTTCAGGATTTTGGCAGCTAAAGACAAAAGTGGATGATACAATTGGGAACGGAGGAGCAGTGATCTCAGATTTATTTTATTCATTCACGGCATGAGGACTAGGCCAGCATTTATCGCCCTTTCCTATTTGCCCAAAGGGCAGTTATGAGTCAAGCACACTGCTATGGGCCTGGAGTCATATGTAGACCAGACCAGATAAGGATGGCAGTTTCCTTCCCTAAAGGACATTAATAAACCCAATGATTGTTGGAAAAACCCAACAACGGATTCATGGTCATCATTAGACTCTTAATTCCAGACATTTATGGATTTCAAATTCCACCATCTGCCTTGGCAGGATTCGAACACAGGTTCCCAGGACATCACCTGGGTCTCTGGATTAACAGTCCAGCGATAATACCACTAAGCCATTGTCTCCCTTAGTATCACTAGGCAATTGCCTGCCCTCAGATCTTGCAAAACTGGAGGAGGTAATCGAAATAAGGAGTTACGAAGCCATGGAGTCATTTCAAAAGAAAGATGAAAGTTTTTAAATTCAAGGTATTACGAATGGGAACAAATGTAGGTCAGTGAACATTAGTATGGCATAACTTTGAAAGAATTGAAGTTTACAGAGAGTAATATAGAGGAGTGATACATGAGGAAGGAAAAGCAGGGGAGTTACATTTCTATCAACGGAAGAGTTTCACCAACACTAAAATGTTTCAGCATTGCTCCATTCCTTCAAGGGATACTGCAAATATTATGGCCATGTTACATTCAACCTGATCAGGCTTAATACTTCCTTTAAAAAGCTTTCTATATTGCAGATACCTACCAAGTTTTGGCACTGGCTGGGTGTCCCAGAACTGGTAACTCCGTTTGGTGGCCTCCTCCATGCTCTTTGCTGGACCCTGGGCAACAGAAAATAGCTCAATGGCCTTTTGGATCTCCTGCAATTTCTCTGCAGGCAAAGAATTAACCTGAAAGGCACAAAGCATAAAAGAAAGTGAATATCTGAACATTGTAACTATTCCACAAAACATTAATTTCAAAGCGTTCTCAAACTATAGCACTTCACATGCAGGCCTTCCATGAATTCAATTGCAGGCCATCAACAGAATTCAAACTACTTTCCAGATGTTAGCAATTTGCTTGGCATACTCCTATGAAGTCTCTACTCAGCACACAACCAGTTCTCAGCTCAGCACAACTTGTCAGACATTCAGTTCTGTAATTAGGTGTTTAAACAGCTAAAAATGTGATTCACATTTATCAGTGACTGGATAAAGAACTAAATCTTAGCCCCATTCCCAAGGTTTGTTGACCATGCTCTTCACAGTTATAAATAACAAAAATTTTCAAGCCTGTCACAAACTACAGAACTGGAGGAATTGAGCTCAAGTTTAACAACATGAGTTTGGGTGGGCACATATTGAACACAAATGCTGTATGCAGCATATGAAACACATGGCATGAGATGCCTACAGGACAGTTAATACAGGCAGAATTAAAATGAAAAGCAGATAATACTTGAAAACAGAGCAGGAGATTTGAGTTTTAGAGTTGGTTAGACGGTTGTCTGGTCCAGTATCAACTAGTTATACATCATCCTGCGCAAGCTGGAACTGATCAAGTTAGTAGTAGGAGCAAGCACCAGTCACACTACGTTAAAAGACATTTGTACAATTCACTGGAATGTCAAATCCTTGCATATGGGTGAGGGGGCAGTAATGTGTAACATAAACAAATTGAGCAACACCCCTGTGAACATTTTAGCCATCATTTTGTCCCAAAGTGGCAATGGTAGGAGAACCTACTTTTAAGATAGAATATGCAAATGACTCCAGATAGCTATCTATCATATATGTACCTTGGCAGCTGGTAGCATTTAAGTTCAATTAATAAACCTGAAATTGAAAGCTCAGTAATGGTACAAACTATTATCAACTGCCATAAAAACAACTGCTTCACTAATGTCCTTTAGAGAAGGAAGTCTGCCGTCCTAGCCCTGTGCGGCCACCATGTGACTCCAGCCGCACAGAAATGTGGTTGACTCCAAACTGCCATAGCAAGCCATTCAGCTGAAGGACAATTTTGGATGGACAACAAATACTGACCTTATCAGTGATGTTCGTTTGCCATGAAGGAATAAACAAAAGAAAATTCTCCAAATGTGATATCCCAACAAAAAAAATATATTACAGTGGTCCTGGTCAGCAGGTCCCTACATAATGGGTCTCTCAGAGCTACTGAATGCATGAAAGTAAACACTGATTTTTAGAATGGTTTCTGGACATTGACCAACCTATAGCTAATGTACTCACTGTGCATTATAGTGATACCTCCATGAGATCATCACTCTGTGTCCACACACTGACCAAAATGGTCTGCCTACTCACATGGACTGATAATTTAATTGGTGCTACTAATTTATTGGCAGCTCTTGCCCCGAAGACTTGGGCCCTAATATACAAATTATTTATTAAAACTTTCAGTAGAATACCCAGAAATTGCGGATAATGAGAAGCTCTAAAACATACTCCTCCCGGATTCACACACTGAGTGCTGAAGAGGTTTCTAGAGAAAGTAAGTACGCTCAACATTAACAGCTGATAAGAGACAATTAATAACCTTTTCACAATGCAAGACTGGCATTCTGCTACTAGCAGCTCCAGTCCAGATGTCGGATGCAAGTTAATAACAGATGAAAATATGGAAAACCACAGCTTCCGAAAAGTCAAAGACACAATTGTTAATATTTCTATCAATGGTTCAGACTTGCATTTCAAACTCTCTAGTATGACTATAATGATAACAATGAAAGTATCCTTTTACGGGTTCCATTCTAAAGAAGCTACAGCCATATCTTTGTTCAAAATGTTATACAAGATTATAATTAAACTGTACGGTGAAAAGGAGTATAGCTCTCAAAGTTACTTGAAGGCTTTAGTGCAATAGATTAGAATGCACGCCAAGACAAGATTCTGTCCCACACTCTTCAACTGCAATTCTTCAACGTAAGGGCATCATCCGCCTCCCCAGTGCCCCCACCCTACGTGCAAAGAGCAATGTGCCTGTGGGTAGATGTACGCTTTCATCCAGTTTGACCATAAGGTGGGGGACGTCAGGGTTTGTTCCAGTGGAAATGCTTTGGGTATAGTGTGAAAGATATCAGGGAATGTACCATGAAGGAAATAAGTTAAAACTCAATGTCCTATACACAAGGTGCTCCACGCATCAATTAGATATTTATAACTTGAAGTAAGTTACAATTACTTTACAAAATAGTCAATCATCTGTTACTTTGCACATGAAGAGTCAAAAACAAGTTTAATTTTCAGGTCAAGTCAAGGGTAGTGAAATAATTAGAAAAATGGGCATGTGTTATATAGTCCCTGCATTAGAGAAATAAATTGCCCTTGTTTATATTTATATTGCAACTTGACATCACATCTAGCTAAATAGGACAGCTGACACAGTCCAGGAAGTGGAAAAGTACAGCTGGTTGGAGTGTAGGAATTTCCTTGTGGAAAGCATGACTAGTGGGAGATGCAGAGCAGAGGCACTGCAATGTCACATTATTGTAAAAGCAAAGCACTGCGGTTCCTGGAAATCTGAAATAATAACAGAAAATGCTGTAAATATAATGAAATCTCTGAAGTCTGGCAGAATCTGTGGACAAGGAATAAGAGTTAACATTTCAGGTGTATTTAGTTCCGATGATAATTCAGCGACCTGAAACATAAACTCCGTTTCTCTCCCTGCTAAATATTTGAAGCATTTTATGCGTTGACCTCTGCAGTGCCACAGCTGGCAGGAGGGTGTAGTGTGTCAGGTTTACTGGGGCAGTATCCATTATAGATATGGATGAGAGTTTAGGATGGAGAAACTGATAGGTGCAGAAACGCGAAGGAGATTTTGTAGCAGAAAGTGTGAGAAAACAAAGACACTTTTAATTACGAAACTGTAAAGACAGAAAAAGGTGTGCTCAAATTACATACTGTCCACATGATGAGACAGTGAAGTATTTCATGCTGTTCTAAATTAATACATCAACATGGTATATACTTACTTTATTTGAAGAATCACTTAATAAACTATTGACTTGTTTCAGTAGGTGGCACACTTGCTTCTGAGATAGTAGGATATGTATTCAAGTCCTACTCCAGGACTGGACACACAATACAGGCTCCAAAACACACAAATTACAGAATACAGTAGCCAGGGGAAATCAGAGGAAGAGTTTTTTTTTAAAAACTTAAACTAGTGGAACTTGAGAGGCACATATTCAATTGAATGCAGTTAAGTGCACAACATCGTCAGTTAGTGAGAATGATAATATCTAAGTCCTCTCAGGGTTTTGTCTCTCCCTATCTGTGAAACCACCATCAATTCAAGAACCATCCCAGACGTTCAACTCCTTTTACTCCATGGTCTCATCAACAGGTTTCAGCATTTTACACTTAATGCTCTTGAAATCTCTTCTTAAATCACGAGCTTTCCCCTCTCTCATAACCATCCTTAATACATTTCATCAACCTTTCGGTCAACAGTCTTAATGTTTTTTGGTTCCCCAAATCTCTTTTTTTTAAATTGTGACTTTATAGAGCACTTCTACATTAAAAGTTAGAATTAAATGCAAGTTATTGTTCTTGTTGGGATTTCAGTGTGAGGAGACAAATGACAGGAGGGATAAAGGACGCAAGTAGAGTTATAAAAGCACAGCACTGTTTTGACTCTTCATGCGCAAAATAAACTACTACTTGGTTTATAGAATTGTCAAACGATATAGCATAGGAGATTATTGGTTGTGCTGGTTTATAACAAAAGGAAACAAGATGTAGGAGGGTAGCATTTGGTGCTTGATTTGCTATCAATAGGATCATGCCCAATCTTTGACCACAATTCCACTTTCTTGTTCTTCTGCAGGGTGCTGAAAACTGTCCCCGTTCAAGTATTTATTGATAGTTATTTATCCATCCACATCTACTACTGCCACGTGATGCATTCCAGACTGTACTATGTCACTGTTTTTGATTCTGTCACTTGTTTATTTTGCCAATTACCTTTGATCTGTGTCCTCCGTTTACTGACCTTCTGCCAGTCTAATTATTTATTCAATCAAAGCCCTTCATGATTTTGTACATCTCTATTAAATTCTTTCATTGACCTCTTCACCTTGAAGAACATCACCCCAGCTTTTTTAGTCTCTCCATATAACTGAAGTTCCTTAGCCTCTGGTACCATTCTAGTAAATCTATGCTGCACATTCTCCTAATGTTTCCTAAAGAATAATGTCCTAAATTGGCCATGATTTTCCATCCTGGACTTAACTAGTGCTTGACAAAGGCTAAGAACAACTTCCATGCTTTTGTACCCTTTGTAGTTTTTAAAAAATTCTTTCCTAAAAAGTGGGCATCACTGGCAAGGCCAGACATTTTTACCCATTCCTAACTGCCCTCAAGAATGTGATGATAAGTCATATTCCTATTGAGTCCAGTGTTGTCATGAAGGAACTTCCAGGTGTTTGATCAATGAATGGACAGTAGTATCAAGACAGGACACTGTTAGACCAGGAGATGAACTTGCAGGTGACAATCTAAATATAAAGCCAATGATCTAACTGCTTTTCAACAGCCCCCTCAATTTGTCTTACATAAATCTTTGATTGTATGTATATCCCAGGTATCTGTTCATGCAACCTCTTTAAAAATTGTATTAGTTCGCTTATATTGCATCTTCTCACTTTTCCTACTTAAAAGTAAAATATCATGGCTCTTTGTATTAAATTTCAATTGAAACATCTAGCTAATAAGGTTTTAGAGTAGATTTGTAGCTCGGGTTGTGGATGTTGTGGTTGGTTGCTTCGCCAAGCTGGAATCCCTACTACTGCAGAGAACAGAGGGGACAATTCGAAAAGAGAAACACTATAATGAATTATCAACATGGATTCAAAGGGAAAAACTTGTTTAATTAACTT